AGGGCGAAGTGTGTGTTTTCATTAGGGGCATAACCATCACCTTTGGTCTGGCCTCCAGAAGGCAAATGGCCAAAACTGCTGAGCGGTTTGAACTTATAAAATGCTGTCTGGGTTACTGAGTAGCCAAGTACCACTGTGTATAATGATTAGTTGTGTGTAAAGTGAGTGCTTCATTACAGAGGGCAGAATAGACATTTTGCTTTCACGTGCCTGTATAGAGATTTACAATCTATCTGTGGTGGTAGAGGAGGTTGCAAACACACGTGTGCAAGCAAAAGAAGGTAAACCAGTGCTTAAATTAATTATTAATATAAATACTTATTGACAAAAAACTTTGAAGCACTGACTGGTTATCTCATTTATCAACAAACTCCAGCTGAGTGGGGTTGAACTGCAGCTGGTAGTCCTTGCTCTGCTTAGTGTAGTGGCAGCTCATGAACCAATTCTGCAGGTTTTGGTTGGAGTAACCCTCAAGCTCACAGCATAGGAAAGGAAGGGCCCTCTTCACCAGCTTCAACACGAGAAGGTGGATTTGAACAAGAGAAAAAAAAAATCAATCAAAAGATTCAGAGAATCTGGAGAAAACTCTGTGCACAAAGGGCAAGCTTGACATTCAACACCAGATGCCTGTGATCTTTAGGCCCTTAGGTGGCACTGCATTAGAAACATGGAAATCACTGCCTGAAATCACAGTTTTCTGTGCCACCCAAAAATGTAAGTTGAAGTTCTATCATGCAAAGAAGAAGCCACGAAAGCTGCATCTCAGATGGAAAAACAAGCCTGTACATCTGAAAGCTACCGTCAATCCTGAGCTGTAAATACAGGTTTTAAAGCAGCAACATGCTCATACCCAGGTGGCTTTTTCTGGAATGAGCTTGCGTATTTCAGCAAGACAATGCTAAACCACATTAATCATAACAGCATGGCTTTGTAGTAGAAGAGTACAAGTTGCTGAACTGGCCAGCCTATAGTCCAGACCTTCGCACAAGTGAAATGTTTGTCACATTATAAAAAGAAAACTATGACAACAGAGATCAAGGTCAGCGGACCAGCTAGAATCTTACATCAGACCAAATTTGGGACAACACTGCTCTCCTAAAAGTCTGGTCTCCTGAGTTCATTTATTGTTGTTAAATGAGAAGGAGATGCTACACATTTTCTTAAAATGGTAGATTTTCACATAATCATTTGATAAAATATTGTTTTATGAAATTTGCAAATCACTGCATTCTGCTTTTATTTACATTCCACAGAGCATCCCAACTTTTGGGAATCTGGGTTGTTATAAAGCAGTAAAGCGTACGCACACACGACACTTCGGAGTTGTTACACTGTATGATGTGAAACAGTTAAGACCGAGCAGCTTGTGCTCAGTGCGACTTTCTGCCAGGGTCAGTCTGTCACCGTGTCTCTGTGTCTCCAACAGCCCTGCCTGGTGTTGGCCGTCATGCCCCTCTGCCTCCACAGACATCCAACACCCACACATAAACAAGAAGCACACACACGTACACACCCCCAGCCAACTGCCCATGACATGAACACTACCGCAGGCTCACTGGGCGCCACTTAAAGGCTCCCACTTTGAAACTGACACTCCACTTGGCAGTGGCGCCAAACAAAAGAGTTTCTGTGTGTGTGTGTGTGTGTGTGTGTGTGTGTGTGTGTGTGTGTGTGTGTGTGTG